TTTTTTGTAGTGTTTTCTTACTATTCATTTGATGTTTACAGGATCTGTAATGATATCTCCTGTTTTATTCCTAATATTGGTCATTTGTGTTTATTGTCTCAGTTTTTTACCAGTCTTGCTAGAGGTTTGTCAATTTTAATGATTGTTTCAAGAAATCAGCTCTTTATTTCTTTGCTTTTCTCTGTGGTTTTTCTTTTTGAATTTCATTAATTTATGCACGTATCTATGTTATTGCCCTCTGCTTTGGGTTTATTTTGTTCTTCTTTTTCTGGGTTCTTAGGGTTAGGGCTTAGATAATTGATTTGAGACTTTTCTTCTTTTCTAATGTATGCATTTAGTGCTATAGATTTCCATCTCAGTACTGCTTTAGTTGTGCTACACACAAATTTTTGATATGGTATATTTTCATCTTCATTTATTTTCAATGCATTTTTTAAAATCGAGACTGCCTCTTTGACCCATGTGGATTATGTAGAAGTCTACTGTTTTGTTAACAAGTGTTGGAGATTTTCCTGTTATCTTTCTATTATTGATTCTAGTTTGATTCCACCGTGATCAGAGAACACAGTGTGACTTCAATTCCTTTATGTTTTTTGAGGGTTTTTTTTAAGGCCAGGATATGCTCTAGCTTGGTGTATGTTGGTGTGAACTTAAAATAATAGTGTATCCTACTCTTTTTATGCAGGATGTTCTAAAAATATCAATGGATCCTGTTGGTGGATGATGTTTAGTTCTATATCCTTGCTGATTTTCTGTCTAGTTGTTCTACCAATTATTGAGAGAGAAGTATTGTCATCTCCAACTATAATTGTGATTTTTGTCTGTTTCTCCTTTCAGTTCTATCAGTTTTGTTTCACTTATTTTGTAGCTCTGTTGTTTGGTGCATCCACATTTTGGATTGCTATGTGGGTCGACCCTTTTATTTTTATATAACATACTTCTCTGTCTCTCGGCAACTTTGCTCTGAGGTCTACTTTATCTGTAATTAAAATAATCACTCCATTCTTTTGATTGACATTTGCATAAGATATCTTTTTCCATTCTTTTATTTTCAACTTGCCTATATTGTTATATTTGAAGAGACTTTTGTATAGCCAGTATATAGTGGAGTCATGTTTAACCCTGCCAATCTCTTTTTTTTAATTGCTGTAGTTAGGCCTCTTACATTTAGTGTAATGTTTGAGCTTAAGTCTACAATTATTTTTTCTGTTTATTCTCTCTGTTTTTCATTTCTCTTTTCTTTTTCCTGCCTTTCTGTGTGTACTTGAACTTTTTTTAGAATTTCATTTTGATTTATTTAGAGTGGTTTTGAGTGTATCTTTTTATATAGCATTTTAGTGGTTTCTCTAGGTATTACATTAAATATATGTAATGCTTCAGTGTATTAATATCATCATTTTATTAGTTTGAGGTAAGTATAGAAACCTTACCTCTGTTTATGTCTTATTACCCTCCCTCATTTATAATACAATTATCTTAAATATTTTCTTCATATACATGTAGAATCATGTCAGTGTTATAATTTTTAATTCATCTGTCAAACATAAAACTCAAGAGAAGAAAAGTCTATTGTATTTACCCATATTTTTGTTCACTGTGTTCTTTCTTTCTTTTTGATTTTCCAAGGTTTCTTTTTTTTTCTTCTCACCTTTACCTTTCTGTTTAGAGAACTGATTTTAGCTATTCTTTTAGGGTAGGTCTTCTGGTGATAGAATCTCTTATTATTCCATCATCTGTGACTGTCTTGCTTTTCTCCTTGATTGCTAAATAATATATTTACTGGTAGAAGATTCTAGATTACCAGTTTTTCTTTTTTTCAATTCCTGAAAACTCTTGCGCCACATCCTTCTAGCCTTCACAGTTTCTTATAAGGAATCCAATGTCATTCTGATTGTTTTCCCTTTTTAGGTAAAATGTTTTATCTGGCTAATTTCAAGATTTTTTCTTTGTCTTTAATTTTCAGGAGTCATGATGTATCTTAGCATGGGTATTTTTAATTTTATTCTGTTGGGGTTTCACTCATGCAGCTTCTTGAATCTGTAGGTTTATGGCTCTTGCTAATGAATTTTTCTGCCATTATTTCCTCAGGTAATTTTTCATCTCTGCCTTCTTTCTCATTTAGGACCTCCAGAGACATGCATATTAAATATTTTGTTGTGGTCCCACAGGTCGCTAATGCTCTATTCATTTTTTCCAGCCTATTTTCTCTCTGTTGTTCAGATTGGGTAATTTCTATTGTTTTATCTTCCAGTTTAGTTATTCTTTCTTCTGTCTCCTTCGCTCTACCATTAAGCCTGTCCACTGAGCTTTTTTATTTTTTGCAATTATTGTATTTTTCAGCTCTAAAAACTTTGCTGAGACTTTGTGTTTCTCAGTTGAGAATTTCTTTTTTTCTTTTTCCATTTGTTTCAAGCATGTTCATAATTGCTTATTGAAGCATTTTTGTCATTGCTGCTTTAAAATCTTTGGTAGATAATTCTAACATCTCTCTGTTCTCATTGTTAGCATCTGTTGGTTGTATTTTTTCATTTGGTTTGAGATCTTCCTGGTTCTAGGTGTGAGAAGTGATGTTTCATTGAGACATGGGCATTTGGGGTATTATGAGACCATGGATCTTATTTTAACTTTCTATTTTAACTATATTTTTTGACACCACCATGGCAGGAGAAAGGGGGTGGCACATCACCTCATTACTGCCAGGTGGGAATATAAGGCCAAGTTTTTTGTTGACACTCAAGATGGGGACTCTTCCTTCATTCCTTTTGGGGCTGGATGGAATGTCCAGTTCTCCTCCAGGCCTCCACTGATCTTTCCCTGACCAGGAAAGATAGAAGTGCCTCATTATTGGTTCCCACCTGGTGTCCATGTATAGGATAGGAGAAAAAGTGTGACCTCTTGACTGGCAGTGAAATCTTGACTCTTCTCTTGGCTTCCTTTGATACCATCCCAGTGAGAGGGGTAAGTTCACTTCATTACTTATTGGTGAGGGTGGAAGTCTAGGTTCTCCATGTGATCTTCATCGACACCAAGGTGTGTTGGGGGGCTGGATTTCTTACCACCCATTGGAAATGGAAGTCTTGACTTCCTCCTTGTACTTCTCTGACCCCACCATGGCTGAGCGGGTTGAGTGTTGAGTGCTGTGCCTTATGATAGACTCATGACTGTAGAAGTCTTGGTTTCCTCCTCAGCTTCTGCTGGAGTAATTAGAGAGAAGGTCACAGTTTTTTCTGAGTGATTATTGTCTAAAAGGTTTCTGTTTTGCTAGGCTGCCTTTTTCCTGCTCCTATGGCTAGAGAGAGCAGGCTCTTATTAGGGCATTTTTTTATACACACCTGCTGGCATTTCTCAGGTGTTGGCTTCTTCAGCTCTAAGTCTGGCATAAATGAGGCAAAAAGGAAACCCAGGGAACTTACCACAGTGTTGTTCCTAGAGTCCTAATGTCCATAGCTAGTCTGCCTTTCTTCTATGTATGTTTCTGAGCCTTTTTATGTTTGTCTTATATGTAATGTCCGAGATTTCTACTTGTACTTAGTGAGAAGAATAGGGAAAAGTATGTCTACTCCATCTTCCCATTCATGTATTTTTTTTTTCTTTTTGAGACACGGTCTCCCTTTCTCACCCAGGCTGGAGTGCAATGGTGTGATCATTAAATCACTGCAGCCTTCGACTCCTGGGCTCAAGTGATCCTCTCACCTTGGCCTCCTGAGTAGCTAGGATTACAGGCATGAGCCACCATGCCTGGCTAGTGTGTGTGTGTGTGTGTGTGTGTGTGTGTGTAGAGATGGTGTTTTGCCATGTTGCCCAGACTGTTCTGGAACTTCTGGGCTCAAGCAGACCTCCCACCTCAGCCTTCCAAAGTGCTGGGATTACAGGCATGAACCACATGTATGTATTTTTAAAATAAATGTCCAACCTATTTATTATCCTGTAATAAAAGTAATGTTTGCTTGAGTATAGTTCATGGAGAGAACATATAGAAAATGTAGATTATGATGACATAAACAGCTTAGAACAATAATCCTCAAATTTAAAGTACATTCAAACACGGGGAGGGCTTTTTAACACTGATTATCGGGCCCTCCTCCAGAGAGAGGTGAGAATTGGTGTTTCTAACAAGTTCCCAGATAATACTGATGTTGCTGCTCTGGGGACCATACTTTGATTGTCACTGCTTTAGAGAAATGCTGCATCGATGACGTATCATTAACTTAAATGATATTAGTAGTATATGCAGTTGCTTTGAGTAAAACAAATAAAAATTTGCAATAATTAAAATAAACTGGACATTAGATCTAAAACATTTAAAGGTCGACATTTATAAGATGACAATGTCATATTTTGAATGAAATGGGTCTCCCCATTTCCAGTGCTATTGTTTGGGGCATTTGAGAGGCAAAAAGAGTGGGACACTGAAGGAAATAGTACTCATTTTGTTGCAAAGAGTCGTATATAGCAAAAAGTGAGAAGTTAGCTGATCAGTTCTGTGAGCATAAAATAATGCCAGTTTTATTGGGCCCTAGACAAAGAGTATTTAAATGGGTATCTTAACCACACTCTGATAAGTATATGATGTATGAGATTTTTCTTTAGGTTCAGAGTTAACCTCAGAAAAGCTTTGTTAGATTGGTCTGAACTAATGATGGCCAACCTGGTAATTACTGCATATATCATCATAATGTAGCTTCCTCTGAAGTTCATCTTTTTTTCTTGAGGTGCTGAATAGAAACAACACTGGCATTAAAACTACTCCCATCAATAGTATGACCATTAGTCTAGACCAAAGTCAACCTAGAAATATTTTTCCCAGATGATCACTAAGTATAAAAAAGAAAAATTTAAATAGTGAAATGTCAACATGAAGTCTCTTAGACATTATTCTTCTTAAGGAAATTGTTATAAGTGTTAATAAAGAAACTTGCTTTTGAATATTCAACAGGTAATCGTTCTTATTTTGTAGCCAGATACATTAGAGTAATAACATATTTCCTTTTCTCTTTTAGTTCTGTTGGCTTAGCAAAAGCAGCTCTAGAAGCGATTAATGGATTCAACCTCTTTGGCAACCAGGTAAAAAAAAAAGAAAGAAAATCTTTATTTGAATTGCATGCTTAATTAATTTGGCTAGTCGTTAATAAAGTCATTTACTTATAATGAAAGAATGTCTGAAACTAATGTAGTAGCCCATTGTTCGAAGAACTTTTCCGTTGAAAATGATTTGCCAGTTAAATTTTGTTTTCTAACCAAAAACCATTGCTTACTTTCTAAAAAAAAAAGAATCTCAATAAAGAATTCTGATTTTCTTGGTTCAGTAACTTTTCCTTCAAGTCTATTACTCATTTCTCAGAGAGTTTCACATTTTAAAATATTTCTGGAATTATATACCATATATTTTCCATGTCAGTTCTCATGTTGGTTTCAATTTAGTGTATAACGACGTGTATCTCATGCAGAGGGGAATTTCTGTAATGTGTGTAGCCTGCAAATCGGAAGTTTTGCTCCTAGCTTTACCTTCAACTAGCTGTAATCAAATGTCTAAAATCGCATTTTCTCTGGGGATAAAAAGGAAACCCTGAAGGTTGCCTTAAATTTTCATAAGATCTTTAATTAGTCTTTGTACCAAAAGAAACTAAACTAATCAAGTGACTATGATTGAGTTGTCAATAGAAGGGAATAAAATGTAGGAATAGAGGCTGCTACACTGGATCAACAAGTAGGCTAATTTTCTTTAGCAGTTTTTGTAAAGATTCTTAAGATGGCAAGGCACAGTGAAGTTTCTGATATTGTAATTAACCCTAATCTATTAAAATGCTAAATCAGTGAAGATACATTTTTGAAAGTTACACTTACGTACAAAAAAGTGACATGGTTTTTGTTATGGCAATTGTAATGCTATATACCTGAAGTCTTGAAGTTAAGAAAATTTCTAGTTGGAGTATGTTAACACAACCACCTCTCTTCCCTTCCCTGCTACTTCATACACAAACTCTCTTCTCTCCTCACCCCAACTTCTTCTGAAGGATGGGCTCTGGCTATTTCTAGGACTTGAGGAATGACCACAGACATGAAATGATTGGGAAGAGAGAAACATCTCATTCTGGATGCCCAAGGATTACTCTGGATTATCCTCTTCCCACAGAGAGAGAGAGAGAGAGAGAGAGAGAGAGAAATAGGAGGATAAAATGGTATTAAAGAATAGCATTTTATTAGGAGTCAGGAGATAGGATCATTGTATACTCTGTACACCCAGTTCTATGACTTCGGCTGGTTATTGACCTATCTAACTCTCAGCTTCCTCATCTGAAAGTAGAGATAATGATAATAGGACCTAACTCAGGAAGTTCTCATGCAAATAAAAGTTAACTTAGTTAGCATAGTGCCTGGCAAAGATTAAGCCTTTAATAAATGCTATTTCTTGTTGCTATTATTTAAGAAGTATTGGTAATATTAAAGAACGGAAATGAAGAGATGGGACTGAAAGCTTTCTAGAAAGTATCTCAGGGAGACTGAGAGGAGTCATGGATTAAACCAGAGCTGCTGTAGCTGGTGTATCATCAGTCTGGGAAAATGCAGGTCTTGCTAGCTTGCCTTCTATGGCGTACCAATGAGCGAGCTGAATGGAGCTGAGTCTTTCTAGGTTGGCCATGCACAGTAGCGTATACCAGCTCTTTTTTGCGATTCTGTCCTTTGAAATACCTGAGTCTTACGTAGCTGCGTGCATCCCCTCCTCTTTACGTATATACCCACACGCATACATGCAAGGTACTTTTCCTAACTCTACTCTTCTTTCAGAGCTCTACTTTTCTTAGAAAGTTTTCATAGATTGCTCAACTATAACTCTAAAACCACTGAATTGTTTTACTGTGCATTCTGATTCTCAGTTATAAATGGATTGCCAGTATTATTCCTCAGCCAGTTTTTCGATCTTGACTACACACTGGAATCATTTGAAGAATTGAAAAAAGAAAATACTGATGCCTAGGCTTACCCCCAGTGATTCTGATTTAATTAGTCTAGGGGAGGCCTTGGCATTGACATTTTTTCAGAACTCCTCAGAAACTCTAATATGCATCCAAGGATGAGAACGTGCTCTAAGCATAGCTAGTTTTTGGCCTTGTTTAGGTCCTGTTTCCAATGTAGCTATGCACCAAATGTTTGCTGTATTGACTACCCCTTGATCATTTCAGATAGAAATATAAACAAATAATATCTTATTTCTTTAGCCACAGAAATATCACATGTTGCAAGTAGAGCCTCTTCATCTTCCAGTTTTGCAGGATAGTATCAGTGTCCTTGTTTTACAAATTCTCTTTCACCTTTTTTTCTGATGTGGAGAATGACAGAAACTTGACTTTTAAAATGTTAATATTCCCACCTCTACAGCAGTTAAATTACTAATGCGCCTGCTAAATGGTAGCACATTTAAAAGTGTGCGTGACCTTTTAAGTGTTTAATCATTTTATAATGTTGCTCCGTATACTTGGAAGAGCTGTGGGTCTAATTAAAAGCCGGTGGCTGGGAAAAGACCTGACATAAAGAAATGTTTTTATTCAAATGAAAACCTGAAGAAACCTGCTCAAGACTTGGAGGATTTCAGATCATATGAGTATCCTTAATTATTTCTAAAAAACCGTAGGGGCCGGCTCACGCCTGTAATCCTAGCACTCTGGGAGGCCGAGGCGGGCGGATTGTTTGAGCTCAGGAGTTCATGACCAGCCTGAGCAAGAGCGAGACCCCGTCTCTATTAAAAATAGAAAGAAATTATCTGGACAACTAAAAATATATAGAAAAAATTAGCCAGGCATGGTGGCGCATGCCTGTAGTCCCAGCTACTCGGGAGGCTGAGGCAGGAGGATCGCTTGAGCCCAGGAGTTTCAGGTTGCTGTGAGCTAGGATGACGCCACGGCACTCTAGCCAGGGCAACAGAGTGAGACTCTGTCTCAAAAAAAAAAAAAAAAAAACAAAACTGTTAGTATAGTGTTTTGGAAAACTTGACCATGAGTCTTTAACTAAATTAATTTAGAGCTTTCAAAAAGTGCATCTCCTGTTGGTGGCAACTCAAGAGTCATAGATCTTTGGAGATGGGTGAACCCCTCTCTTAAGATGAATGATCAGAGAAGTTGAGGTAACTTTTCTCATATCACACAGCAGAGGGGCAGAACCAGATATTAAACCAAAGTCACTCAGTAGTGAATCTGGAAAATCAACAGTTGATATGGAAAATCTCAGCTGTTGGATGCTTCCTGCCTTTAAAGTTGGGAGCTGTGTATTTTCTTTGAAAACTCTTAAGCCATTTTCTGCTCAGTAATTATTGGGCTTCTGAAGGAGGTATCTACTTCACAGGTAGTGTGAAAGAAAGGCTTGCCTTTCTCCTTTTGTGCTTTAGTGCATGTGATAAAACAAATGTTGATTTGTTTGGGCAATCATTGGGTGGAAAGTTTTTAGCTTTGGTTATGATGATTATGTGTTCCTATACTTCCTTTCTTCTTTTTTTTTTCAGTAATTGCTTTCCTAATTCAAGAAAAAAACATTGTTTAAATCTTCACTCCAAACTGTTTTCAAAATTTAATTTTCTTTGGGACTTTACAAATAAAATGTGATAAAATGGCCTAATTTCTTTAATGATCAGCTTACTATGTATGCTAATTTGGGGCAGAGCCCCATTTAGAGACATATATAATCCTCAATATGCGAATCACATATTTCATCATGTTCTCAAATACGTTGTGTATAAATATCATGATAAATATGTTTAAATATTATTAAAGCAATATTTGACAATATGTATATAGTAATGTAAATCAGAATTTACTTTCATCAGATGTCATAGGTATAGTAAGCAACAATTTTGTAATTCCTGGGTTTGAATCTCAGCTCTGCTGTTCTGAGACCCTGAGAATTAATGCTCGGATTCATCTTTTCCTGTAGTTTGAAATTCCTTTAACAGTATGTGAGCAGGAGAGAAGCCTGGATTGTGAGAGGGGCTGCTGGAAACAACTGTTGGGACAGGAAGCAAAAATTGGCTATTTACGCATTCATTGCCACCACAGCCATGGTGCAAGGGGGATATTCCCATCAGTAAATATCCTTTCTGGAAGAATACTGTTCTTGGGGCTCTGCCACAGAGCTAAGGGTTGACCTAATAACTGAACTATGGAATAAAATCTCCTACTCAGAGTTCGTGGTGTGGTTTTGCTTCCAGAATAAGAATAGAAAAGATCAAGACCAGTAGATCCACTCACCAATTTTATCTTGTTATATATTTTCATTCTAGGCGAGGGCAGCAGGTCCCTTAGCTCAAGTTCAGAGAAGTGATTAATGGGGAAAAGAAAGGCCCAGACAATCCTTCAAATCATTTTACTTTGAATTGAAACCAGTGAGCTCAGCAATCTTATGGTCACAGATGGTACCTTTGGCCTTAGGGACCGTCGCAAAAGTGTTTGATCTGGTCATGGGGATGGAGGAGAGAGGTAGATGGGTCAGAGCAGCCCTTCCCCACCACCGGAACTCAAGTCCCCATGGCAGTGGTCAGGTAGAATCATTTTCTAGTGTATTTACTGGAACAAAAGGATTTATAGACACTCAACTGGAGAGTGCAGTTTGAGCTGTCAGTCTTAAAATACGCTCTTTAGGTGGAGTCAGGATATTATGGCAGAGTTGTAATGATTTCAGGAAATGGAAGATGAAAATAAAATATCCAAAGTTAATCAGATACTCTGAAGTGTCATATTATAAAACATCCTTTCATATTCCTTTCTTTAATTGGGGAAATCAAGATGCTGACAAATGAGCTGAGGCCAGAATCTAAAAGGTAATGACTAGAGAGATTGCTCATGTTATGCAAAGTGTTCAAAGCAATGCAGACGTCTAGCTTCCTTTGAAATTCGCAGGCCTAAAATTAATGTGTTTGATGATTTAAAGTAGGTGATAATTAATTCCATGTGTGGGCTCTCCTTGATAACTTTTTAAAAGACTTACTTCTGAATGGGGAATAGCTGCCCACGACTTTGAGTGATTTTACCCTCCTGGAACTCTGGGCTATAATGCCTAAAGAATGAAATATTTTTGTAAGAGTACAGCCAAACAATATAGTTAACCTTGATCTCAATGTTAAAATATAGTAACATTATGAGATTATTTTTTTCTTTGAGCATATTATTTAGAGGCTGGCAAAGGAAAATTGAGACTTGAACAAATACTTTGGTGAATTTAGATAAATAAGCCATTTATTTGTGAACAAAAAAGAGAAGTTGGCTGTTTACATTAATCAAGTAATGGAAACAATTGCCAAATTTTCCATTTCACTTCATTATTTATAAATTATCCTACTTAGATTGTATCTTTTGAAAATTTAATTCCAGGTAGACAGTTTGGCATGCAATTAATTTTATTAATTCTTGGCCTAAAGATAAATTACAGCTCCTATTATTTTGTGTATTCATAGGCTCCTAACATATTATACCCAATCATTTTCCTGCTATTTTGTTCTAACTACCCTGCTTGTTCCCCTTTCCTTGAAAATTCAGATCCTAGCTGTGGTTGTCCCCTTCTCTATAAAGTGCCCCAACTTTCCTGGGACTTATTATAATTATTATCCTTCTATCTGAGCCACTCACTTCAATGAGACTAAGTCATGTATTGCCATGTGCCATCTTTTGTTTTTTAAATAATCATCTTGTTCAGGGCTGTCTTATCACCTGGGTCAGCTCCTGGAGAGCACAGGTCAAGTTCAGTCTTACTTGTTTTCTTCAAAGCAGAGTGCACACGGTACTTTGCCATTGGCAAGCTACTGCATGAACGAGGAGAGACAAGAGGTTGGGACTCTCAAATAATAGAAGGGACAGCATTAATCTGGCGGTTGAGGGAGAGCTTCACTCATTCCCAGTTCATTTATTAATTCAGTTGTCAGAGTTTTAAAAAAAAGGATTTTAAAAAATGGTATTCTGGATGGGAAATCACTCTATTTTATAGGTTTATATTCATATATGAACATGGATTAACAGGAAAAACATACAACCGGGGAGGGTGATATTTGGATCTAGGGGCTGGTGCTATTAGACTTTGAAGTTTCAGTCTGGGTGATTGATTGACTCGAGATAGTTTAGTTTCAGAGTTAATACATCTGTGAAGTTGGTGAGAACTGGGATGAGATTTAGAAAGTAATACTAAAGCAACATGAAATTTATTCTCTTCTCCTTTTCCCCACACATTTTTCTGAATATTCTCTTATATTGGAAGCAGTCTTCATATTCACATCTCATTCTACGTGTTTTCAAATATTTGGCTCCCCAGTAAGAGAACAAAGCCATATTTACTTAAAACCATAAGTTGTTGAATATGGAATGCATTAATGGCTAAATGATAATTTTTTTTAACCTGGTTAGCAGACCAATTGACATTTTCTATTACATCTGTGTTTTTATTCAAATTTTATGTTCTTACTTGAAAGTTGTTTTTTGTTTTTTTTTTTGGTATGGGAAATTTTATGACCTACTGTTTAAATCGTGGGCTTCTGTGCCGGACTTGATTTTTGAACCCTTGCTCTGTTAAACTAAGGCTTAATGTCCTTTTCAGCAAAATGGGGATAATAATATCTACACATGGGGATTACATGAGACAATCCATGTGAAACATAAGGCACAGTGCCTGACACAGTGAATATTAGCATTATTGTTATTTGAGATTCTCTTATCTTCATGTTTTAATGAAGTATTTTTTAATATCCTTACTTCTAGATTGCATCTGTCAATGGAAGAAACTGAAGCAAAATTAATATAAGTATAGAGTTTATTTGGGCCAAGCTAGATGATTGCAACCTGGGAGCATAGACTGGGAGCATAGTTGCCCTGAGTATACACTCTAATTAGCAGCAGTTACAAATGGATTTTTCAAGGCAGTAAAGGAAGACAGGGAGTGGGCTGATAAAAGTTGTTTGTCAGGAATTCTCGTTGGTTTACGGAAATAACGTTGATTAGTGATTAGCTATATACATTATTAAGCTACAGGGTGTGGGTTATAGTGTCTGGTGTGGCATTTTTAGGTTAATTTATAGCTATTTGTGGCAATATCAAGCAGTTTCAAGAGATGAATACATAGCTCAAAGGGGAGAGTAGGACATAATTGCTGTCTCATTTTAATGTCTCTCTAGGCCTGATAATTAAAAGGATTTGCATTCCTCAGATAAAAGTTCTCTTCGTTTCTCATATCTAAATTTGTTTAGTTTGATCATATAATTAACATTCTTTGTGAGAAATGTACAAATCAGATTTTATGAATCCAAATTAGTTCTTTATTCCTTGTCATATTAGCTAAAGTATTTGTATTTCATTAAAATAAATGTCATTAATTGATTATCTTATAATCAATACCTTTTGATTTATTAGAAAATCAAGGAAAATAGGAAAATGTAAAAATAACATTAATTTTAGGATTATAAAATTAATGTTTATTGAAAGAAATTTGAGAAATATTGAAAGTATAAAAAGAAGATTAAAATCTTCTGTAATCCCACACTCAAATGCAGTCATTTAGTATTTTTTGTAAAGTCTCTCACAGTCAAAATGCCAAATGTTCTACAAGTCCTTTTTTCTTGATTTAGGAAATGTTTTACTTTTTCTCTTTCCAGGGCTGTTCTTGGTCAGTTATATTTGTGGATCTCGACGCTCACAACCGCAACAGGCAAACTTTGTGCTCCCTGTTACCCAGAGAATCAAGATCGCATGTGAGACATATTTATGATAAATTAATATGAACTGTCATTTATTATTTTTATGTAGTTTTCACTTCTTTTCTAAGAAAGTGCTCTCAAATCTTAGAGGTCATCCAGAAGAGATAAGACACGATAGATAGGTATTAATCCCTCCTTCCTCTGGCCTGGAGAGGTTTGGGAAGTGAGCAGAGTTGTGGAAAAAGCTGCTTTGTCTTTTGAGTCTTTTGCAGGACAATAGAAAAATAGACATTATTCTTCTTTTGGATGAATGGCAACATTATGCCAAAAATGAATCATATTTTGTTGTGGAATATTAGAAAAATATTTTTCACAATTTATATTTCTTTAAATTAAATTATCTTCTGCTCTTTGTTTCTTTTCTTTTATTCAATTCACTTTTTTTCTTTGATGAACTTTGGTTGCTTATAGTACGTGTTTGCAGATTTTTCTAGGGACTATTTGTGGTTCTCTTTTTAGAAAACACCCAAAATGGAATGATTTCATTATTTAAAAATAACTATTTTATATAAGTAATATAAGATTATGATAAAAACAAAATCCAAAAATAAGCAAATAATAATAACATAATATCCAGTCATTCCACCATTCTGATATAATCTTAGAGTGAAAACATTTGAATATATATGTTTCCACATATTTTTATGCACATATATTTTTATTTTACAAAGCTAAAACCATATTGTTCATAATAATTGATAACCTAGTTCTATAAGTGGACATGTTTTTGTATCCATAAACATTTCTACAATAAAAATTTTAACAGCTGCTAATTTACTGAACTAATCGTTTTGGTCATTAAGGCCAAATGGGGACAGATGAGATCAAACTCTCGTTCTTTGCTGATGATATGATATTATATCTAGAAAACCCCAAGGATTCATCTAAGAGACTCCTAGAACTGATAAATGAATTCTGCAAAGTCTCAGGATACAAAATCAATACACGCAAATCTGTGACATTCATATATGCCAGTAACAGTCAAGTCGAAGATCAAATCAAAAACGCAATTCCTTTTACAATAGCCTCAAAGAAAATTAAATATCTAGGAATATATTTAATGAAAGATGTGAGAGACTTATACAGGGAGAACTACGAAACACTGAAAAAAGAAATTGTAGAAGATGTAAACAGATGGAAAAACCTACCTTGCGCATGGATTGGCAGAATCAATATCGTTAAAGTGTCCATACTACCTAAAGTGATCTACAGAATTAATACAATCCCTATCAAAATCCCATTATCATTCTTTACAGATCTGGAAAAAATAATTCTATGCTTTGTATGAAACCAGAAAAGACCTCGTATAGCCAAAGCAATCTTAAGTAAAAAGAACAAACTGGGAAGTATCAGTCTACCAGACTTCAAGCTGTACTACCAGGCTATAGTAACTAAAACAACATGATACTGGCACAAGAACAGAGACATTGACCTCTAGAACAGGACTGAGAAACCAGAGACGAAACCATCTGCATATGGTAATCTAATCTTTGACAAAGCTGACAAAAATATACAGTGGGGAAAAGAATTCAGTACCAGAATTCAGTACCAGAATTCAGCACCATTCAATAAATGGTGCTGGGAAAACTGGATAGCTACATGTAGAAGAACGAAACTGGATCCCCACCTCTCACCTCTCACAAAAATCAATTCAAGATGGATAACAGACTTAAACCTAAGGCATGAAACCTTAAGAATTCTAAATGAAGATGTTGGGAAGACCCTCTCAGGCATCGGCCTAGGCAAGGAATTCTTGAAGAAGAACTCCAAAGCAATTGCCGCAGCAACAAAAATAAATAAATGGGATCTAATCAAATTAAAAAGCTTCTGCACTGCCAAGGAAACTATCATTAGAGCGAATAGCCCACAGAATGAGAGAAAATATTTGCTCTCTACACGGCTGATAAAGGGCTGATAACAAGAATCTATCTAGAACTCAAAAAAATCAAGAAAAAATCAAACAACACCATCAACAAATGGGCAAAGGAAATGAACAGAAACTTTTCAAAAGAAGACAGAATAATGGCCAGCAAACGTATAAAAAAACGCTCAACACATCTAATCATTAGAGAAATGCAAATCAAAACCACAATGAGATATCACCTAACCCCAGTGAGATTGGCCTCTATCAAAAAATCCCAAAACATCAAATGCTGGCGAGGATGCGGAGAGACAGGAACACTTTTACACTGCTGGTGGGACTGCATATTAGTGCAACCTCTGTGGAAAAGAATTTGGAGATATCTCAAGGAGCTAAAAATAGAAGTATCATTCGATCCAGCAATAGCACTATTAGGCATCTACTCAAAAGAGCACAAAACATTCTATGATAAAGACATCTGCACCCGAACGTTTATGGCAGCACAATTCACTATTGCAAGGATGTGGAAACAACTCAAGTCCCCGTCAATCCATGAGTGGATTATTAAAATTTGGTATATGTATACAATGGAATATTACTCAATCATAAGAAATGACAGTGATCTAGCACCTCTTATGCTTTCCTGGATTAAACTTAAGTCCATTATCCAAAGTGAGGCATCACAAGATCGAAAGAATGTGCTCCACTTGTACTCGCCATCAAACTGGTACTAACTGATGAACACTAGGGTGATCACATGGCAGTAATACTCTCCAGGGATTAGGGGCATTTGGTGGGAGGGTAAACCTGCAACTAAAGAACACGAGGAGCATTGTATGGGGGAAGGGCATGCCTTTAACCCTTGCGTGGGTGAGGCAAAGACATAAAGTATAACCATAATGTTTGTACCCTCATAATACCCTGAAATAAAAAAAAAAAGATTGTTTTCTCTTTTTCACTATTATAAGCAAATTGTTGTGATGGATTAAGTTATGGTGACTATTAGTATTACATATTGTTTTAATTAATATTTTAAAGTTTTTTTTTTTTTTTTTTTTTTTTTTGAGGCAGACTCTCACTCTCTTGCCCAGGCTAGAGTGCGGTGGCATCAGCCTAGCTCACAGCAACCTCAAACTCCTGGGCTCAAGTTATCCTCTTGCCTCAGCCGCCCAAGTAGCTGGGACTACAGGCATGTGCCACCGTGCCCGGCTACTTTTTTCTATATATTTTTAGTTGTTCGGCTAATTTCTTTCTATTTTTAGTAGAGACAAGGTCTCACTCTTGCTCAGGCTGGTCTTGAACTCCTGACCTTGAGCTATCCTCCCGCCTCGGCCTCCCAGGGTGCTAGGATTACAGGCATGAGCCACCTCGCCCAGTCAGTATTGTAAAGTTTGAGCCCAGTGTTGAACCTTGTAAATATTCTTTCTTAATAAAGTTTCATCTGCTCCGTATGGTTCACTGAAGCGTACCATAGAAATGTCAGTCTGTCCCTGGGAGCAGGGCAAGCTCACTGTCTGTTGGATAACCCCACTGGCTTCTTATCTCCATCATTCTCCTTGGTCTGTGCTGATCATGTCATTGCAGATACTTGCAATCTCTTTTTCTTATTGACTCCAGAACACAGACGCTGCCCTTCTTCCCTGCATCAGTTATCCTGCATTTGCCCTGGATGATGAAGTTCTGTTTAGCCAGACACTTGATAAAGTGGTTAGAAAATTAAAAGGAAAATATGGATTTAAGCGTTTCTTGAGAGATGGATATAGAACATCATTGGAAGATCCCAGTAGACGCTACTACAAACCAGCTGAAATTAAGGTATCAAGAAACACCCCGTACTTGCAGTGTATCAGAGTGGTCAGAAGCAGAGATTCAGGAGGCTGACACTTGGGTTTGAATTCTGGCTCTGCCACTTACTAGCTGTGTGGCCTTGGACAAGTTAATTAATCTCTCTGTATTTAATAATTCTTCATTGATAATAATAGTACCTATATCATGAGGTTCTTATATGTGGATTAAATGACTTAATATATATGTATAAGAGCTTAGAAAAGTGCTTGGCAAATAATAAATGCTCAATAAGTGTTAGCTCTTACTGCCAGTGAGGTATTTACTCATATTGGGCCATGTTGATTCATTGGGTGAATAATTTTACTATTGCATTTTCAGGCCTTTGCCTGCCTGCTCCATACTATTTGTCTTATGTAATATCAAATATCTATTTGTGATCTGGCTTTCAATCTGTTAAGCAAATGCTCTTGTTAAAACTAATACACCTTCCCCTCTTCCTTTATCTATTTCATTTACACACTTCCCTTTGAAATATAGTCCTCTAAATATTTAGCTTTAAAGTATTTTATATTTTGAAAGCATCCACACATACCACTATATCCAGGTTTATACTGGGTACTTTTAAGCTATCTGAAAAACTATAACACCCCAAAAAGTAAGCATTTCATGCACATTGCCGAACACTTTGCTTTAGTGGGGTAGGTTAAAATTATTTTTGTGAACATGGGTATAACTTTGACTCACTCACTAAAGATAGATAAGGTCCCCATAAATCTGTAAGTAGAAAATGTATAGGCAGCATTATATACTTCAATATGTTTAGCAATTAACATACTATTCTTTTAAAATTCATTATACACGTTTGCAGGAAAACTAGTCAAGGTGTTTATCATTTTATTTAATTTCACAGTTGACTATCACTTTGTGAGCACTAGGAACCATTTTATTGTATGCATTTTTGAAATTTTACAGTTAGTAGTGTTACAATCTATTAGGATGGGCCAGAAGATCCATTTATCTCTTAAATGTGTTCAAATGTTTCTTTTCTATTTAATACATTTCCTGAGCCAATTTATAGCACTTACATTGGAATTGGACCACCTGCAACTGCCACATTGCAGACTTCCCACTTTGGATCAATCCAGCAAACTTTCTCTCCTTTTGCACCTGCCACTGAGTACCACCAAGGAAAGCCACAAACACTATGGATAGGTGCCAGCCCAAATTCAGGACATCCGTCTTTGTTTGGTCCTCTTCACTGCCTTCACTTCTTGTCAGTCCTGCTATGTGGCCCTGCCAGGAACTCTCCTTCAAGGCTTTTCCAGCTTTTTCCCATTTGTATTCAAGTTCTCAGACTTGGCTTTTTACTTCCTACTTGATAGCCTTTTGCTCTGTGTGGCCTCCTCCACTACATCATTTCTTCAGTCACGCTTGCCTCCACCTCTGTCGTCTCACGGAGGGTGTGTCTGTTCTCTCCAGGCCAACTTATCATACGTGCACTCCATCTTGTTCTCTTACTTTCTTGGGACTCTTGCTGAGACTTTCTTTTCTTCTCTGGTAGAAGGACGTCCATTTCTTTCTTTCGTCTCCTCATCTTCCCCACTTCTGCCTTGCCTCTGCAAGCAACATCCTGTCCTCAGTTTAAACACATTGATGTTTATCATTAAGAAAATAACAAACAAAAGCCCTCCCTCAACCTGCATCCTTATCCTCTTCCCATCTTCTTTCTCTTTGTAGCCACACCTGAAAAGCACGGTGTATACTTGGTGTTTCTCCTCATCCGCCTCCACTCACTTTCCCTTATAATCTGGCTCTTCTTCCCAGCACTCCCCAGTAGCTGTGCTGGCTTCTGTCATTTTAGGTCACTGGGTCATAGTGGATGCTTTTCTGACCTTATTTCACAGAAGTTCTTCTTGGTATTTGAACATCTTAGCCGAGTCCTCTGTCTCAGAACATTCTCCCTTTGCTGTGAACCCATTCTCTTTCCAGTTCTTTACTTTCTTCTCTCGTTATCCTTCTTGGTCTCTTTTGCAGATTCCTTTTTTTCTGCCTCCTCTTAAACTTTGCTCTTCTGCTGGGGTCCATCCCCAGCCCTGTTCTCTTTTCATCCTACCCACGCTCTCATAGCTGTCAACCCCACGTCTCTGTCCCTAACTCATGCCTCTCTCCCTGAGTGCCCTGCCCGTGCATGCAGCTGCCTTTTGGACATCCTCGCTTAGGTGTCCCATAGTCTGCCTACATTCCATTCCCACTCCTCTGTCCAAGCCCCAACCCTGAGAGTCATTCTGGGCTCTTCCTTCGCACTTACCCACCTTTGTCAATCACCAAGGCTGGCGGATTTAGCCTCCTTAAGATCTTAAAATTCTGTCCCTTCCTCTCTATGACTCCTTGGTTTAGGCTAATGGTATGTAACCTGGGTGATTCTGCTCTCTCCTCTCCTGCCCCCAGGGACATTTGACAAAGTCTGCATACATTTTGGGTTGTCACAGCTTAGTGGGTGCTACTGGCATCTGGAAGGTAGAGGGCCAGGGATGCTACTCAACATCCTACACTGTAGGACAGTCCAAGAACAAAGAATTATTTGGCCCCAAATGTCGCTTGTACTAAAATTGAGAAACCCTAGTTTAGGCTGTCATCTTTTCTTTGGTACTCCAGCAGCCTTCCAGCTGGTCTTATTTCTTGCCCTTCAACTCTCTTCGGTATTATCAACTGCCCAGTCTAGCAAGGAAATAAAATGGGTAAATCTGATCCTGCTTAGTATTTACAAGTGGTTCCCTATTATTTTTGGATCAAAATCCCAGTCTCGTAGCATGACCTCCCAGGCCCTTCCTGATCTGGCTGGCCTGGCCCATCTCTTGGGCTTCAGTTTTCACTACTTCTTACTTGCTTGTTGCAGAAGTACTGAATTGCTGGTAGTTTCTTTAACATGCCTTATGCTTCTGTGCATCTGTGATTTGTACTGTTGTTTCCTCTGCCTCCAGTTCCCGTAGCTTATCTTCCCAGTGAAGTTCAGCAGGCATTAGCAAACACGTCTCCTTTCCTATAAACTCTTCCCTGACCCGAGGCAGACTCAGGTGTTTGATTCCTTATGTCACCGCTATGCCATGTGTAGACATTTTGTCCTGCACCATGGTTGCTCATTTACATGCCAGCCTCCCCACTAGGCTGTAAACCCCTGAGGGAAGTTCTCTATCTTTTGTCCTCACAGCACTCTGTCTTGTTGGTGACAGGCATTAAAGTATTCAGTAAATATTTATTGAATGACCGCTGTTTGATGGATTGAATGATTGAGCTTTTGAATAATAAGAATCCTGAGAAATTTTTTAAAAAGAACAATGAAACTATTTATAAAATCAGTCCAGCTTTAAGTTACTACTACAAATAAATCTTTTACATATAGCCTAACTATAGTTGTTCAAATTTAATTGTTAGTTTAAAATTTAATGTCTTATTTTTTGTTTTAGCTATTTGATGGCATTGAATGTGAATTTCCCATCTTTTTCCTTTACATGATGATTGATGGTAAGTGAGCTTTTTCTTGAAATTTAAACTTAAACTATAGGATATAAGTAGTTTAAAGAACAGAAATGAAATATGACTCCTTTCAGCTAGCAAAATAGTCTGTATTTCAGTGATGTTAACTGCTCTGCATTTCAAAATGCTATATTCTTTTGCTTTCTAAGTGAATGTTAAATCTTTTTAAGAATTAAAAAATACTTTGAAAAATTTAAAAAATGATACCAATATATTATTCATATTTACAAAGAAAAATATTAATAGGAATCATGAATACTATAATCTGTGACATTGTGAATATATATAATATTTATACTTAAGAATAAATTTCAATTAAAATTCAGCTTTTGATTGTGAATGCTAACATTACTTTCTAAAATCAATTTCTTGAGAAAATATCACACACATTTATATGACTTTTTCAATTTTATTTTTATCATTTGCACAGAAAATTACCAAAATAGTTATAACTGGGCAAATAAATTTTTCTAAGATAAAGTTTTTGAGATGCTTTTTGAGCTCTGGATTTTGTATTTTACATTTTAGGAGTTTTTAGAGGCAATCCCACTCAAGTGAAGGAGTATCAGGACCTTTTGACTCCAGTACTGCATCAGACCACAGAAGGTATAGTTGCTTTTTCAATAAATTCTTCCTACCAACATTCTCTTAACATTCTTTTGAGTTCTTTATATGAGTTCTTTATAAAACACAATTTATATGAAATTGAAAAAATGAATGAGGCCTCAAATGAAATTAGAAAGAATAACCTCTATTAATTCATTATAGTAAGTCTGTTTTTATAAAAGAAGTTCATTAAGCAGGACAAGGATGGAGATGAATTTAGGTGGTCATAGCTATAGTAATTCCAAAGTAGTGTGTCAGGTGGGAAGAGTTTGTTCATCTATTATATAATTTCTTTACTCTGTATAGTGTGACAATAATATAAAGTGACTATTTTTTATTCAGGTCACCAAAAATGCTATAATGAGGTGAGTGCCGCCCCTGCAGAGGGCTACCTGGACAGGTTCCGTCCTTATCTAAAGGTACTAGCATTGCCAGGAACATCTGGCCTCCTCTTTGGAGTTGCTTCTGGGGCATTTAGCATTATATTTTGAATGTGTGCCACAGTGCTAAAATGTCATCCTTTGAGGATGGATTTAATATTTTATAAATGGTCAGAAGACCCAGTCTTATGAGTAAGGGTTTATTGGTTTTAACCAAACACGAGCAGGGACCATAAAAGAAACATAACTGACTTTTCTGTATAACTGTAAAACTGTCAAAGGAATTCCAAAGGAGATGTTCTAGATTTCTCTGGGATTTGAAAGTGTTAATAGAATAAGAATATATTCTCATGAGTGAACAACTTTGAAAATATATTTATATGAAAGGTGAAAATTATGGTGTGTTAGTTAAAAAAAAAAGAAAAAAAGAATGACCTTATAGATGTGGTACACAAACTGGCAATCATAGCACTGGGCCCCATTCCTATCTCGCATTTTGTTTGTGATGTTCTTTGGGGTTTTCCACAAATATCTCAGAGTAAATACTTCATATTGTGTGCTCATCCTTTCAAATGCTTGTAATGTTAAAAGTTGTGAAATGTTTGTGGATGAACATTGAATTTCAAATAAATATTAATGTTTAAAAGCAGTTATTTTTATCTTTATGCTACAAATACTGTCCAGTGTGAGATATAATGTAATAAATTTTGTGATGCATATAATATTTGAAATCCCTTGAATCAAATTTTTAGTATTCAGTGGTGGATCACTGATGTATTGAGGTAGGAGTTTAAGGTACCTCACTGTAGGCTTCATCGTGTTCAGAGAGTGATGTTCAAAGTAGTCTCTGTATATCATAGAGCTTTTTACTAGTTTTAAACACAATTACCACTATTGGTTGATACATAAAGGAGCAAAATTTTAGGAAAATCTGTACAATTTTATTAGGAAAATTAGGTTTACTGTGGACTAATATTACAAAAAGTCTTCTGTAGCACCCTACTCAGAATGCTGATTTTTCTCCCTTCATATCATCTACAAAGATCCTACTCTATAAATAATAATTTTATTCTTTACCAAGGAATATTTTTTAATGGGTTGGTCACAGGGGAAGATGGCTTTTTCTCTTCAATGATATTGAATGGTAGATAATGAGCTTAATGCTTAAATGCGGATTTCTTTGTTTTAAGCAATGACTCAGGGTTATAATTCTTCATTTAAGATTATTCAATATCTCATTTGTGGAGCTTCTACAGACTAATCCTATTAAAAATAGCTTCCTCTATGGCTCTAAATGTTTGCATACTGTATATTTGTTGATTCATTTAAAGGTATTAAAAATTAAATGTTAAAGGAGATTATGTAGACATTGTTGGCTAAAGCATAACAATATGCTGTCGAATTAGTGTTTTCAAGTCAAGCTTTTCTCTGTTTTTCACTGGCAATATCCGAAAGGAACCAGAATATCCAATTTTCTATAGCTTATCAAATCTGCTACCTCCCGTACAACATTTCTCCTTGCTTTCTAATCATTACAGTTTCTTGAAGGGAAATTTTGGAGAGGACACTGATTTGTTACATTTTAAATACTTATTTTTAAACTCCATAGGATATCCTGTCATACCAAAATACTATTATGTGCCAGCTGACTTTGTAGAATATGAAAAAAAGAACCCTGGTAGTCAAAAGAGATTTCCTAGCAACTGTGGCCGTGATGGAAAACTATTTCTTTGGGGGCAAGCCCTTTATATCATCGCAAAACTGCTGGGTAAGTAGAGAAGGCTGGGAACGCTTTTTTCCCCTTGTTATCAAGCTGTTAGAAGTAAATATGTCTTTGCTGGCATTTTTCTTGAATTTGGGTGGTATCTCGTGCTGTTAAGAGGTCTTTGGGGAGTTTCTTAGTATGTAAAGTTGTATTAATACATCTGTTTCACTGAATGATAATGGACAATTTCTGGGAAGAAAGTGAAATAGATATGGGTACCATTATGACCATTTAGGGGACTACATTCAGCGTACTAGATAGGTTTCTAGCAGAAGGTTATGGGAACTTTGAATTACTTTTATATGACATGATAAAAGTTCTGATTTAATAAAACAGTCATGCTTGGTCATAGCTTTGGTAAGCTACTTGCCAAAATGAATTGGTCATCTCAAAGTCCTCTTTTTTCCAATAAATACATATTGGCAATTTTCTCAGTTAGCTGCAGGCTTAATGGAATCATTATTCATAATTTTTTGAAGAATTATTTTTCGTCTTCTCCTAGAAATTCAGCTGAATCAGAGTACTCTTGGATACATTGAAATGAAGGAAAATTTGATAAACACAAAAAAGCATTATGCTTCTTCCTGCATCATTCCTTGCTAAAATTTCAAATATTAGCATTTCCATCAAAAGGGCTATCATTTTAGAGTCAGAATTCCTTTATGGCAAACGATTATGAAATAGGCTAATTGTAAGTATTGCAGCTGCACTAAAAGAACTGCTTACTGTGTGAAATACTGTTATTGCCTTTGCTGTTTTCTAGCACTACTACATACATGCTAATCCATTGGTTTGTGCAGTAAGAGTAATCATCGTTTGTTCCATTTTTTTACATTCCATTAAGGAAGAATATTTCAAAGGCCAGATTTCCAAATTGAGCTTTACATAAGTGATATGTAAGAGCAAACAAAGCTAACCAAAGAAGAGAAAATTAAGTTAATGCTGTTTTTGATTTGCTCCTTTCCTAACTATATTTTCTAGATCTCTAAATATACTTCATGCTAATTTAAGAATATGTAGAAAGATTTTCTTCCTTTAAAGTGACAGCTTTTTGATAAGGAGTTGATATTATTTATACAGGCTTTGCTTTTAGATTTTCCAAAGGGGGAGAAAAATACACATGAAGTAGAATCAAGCAAAGTGGAAAGGTTATCTCTGATTAGAGTGTTATTTTCATGTGTTGAGACAGCTAAAGAAAACGTATTTTAGTAGAGGAATAGTAAACCTGTGTAAGGAGAAGAATTTTATAATAGCAGTAGAATCATAGGTTTCTATATACCACATTTGGAAATTATAAATGAACATGATGAAATTTTTCTGTGATGTTGCACTACCACCTGGGATCTGGGATTTGAGGTCTAAACCTCCTTCTTGCTTTTTTCTGTGTGTCCAGCCTGGGTTTGGTACAACTAGAAGGAGTGTTGTCTGAGCAAAGCCTCTAGATAAAATTGACAAGGCTAATAAACTGGGAGTGCAGAATTGACGACACTCTATGTAAGTAAATTGAGCTTTAAAGAAAGAAAAAGATTGACAAAAGTATGAGTCAGTAAAAAAGCGTTGAACTTCCTAAAATATATGTGTTGAATGTAGACAGGTCTTGAATGTAGACAGCATTTTCTCATGTTAAGACCAGAGTGGACAGAAATAGTACAGGTCATGCCTCCATTTCTGTTTCATAACCAAAAAGGAAGAAATACTGCAGGGCTCCCTTATAAGAAAGAGTCAATTTCTCTTTTCCCTGCTGATCTCTGAGAAGGCAGTAGAGAACATGCGGAAGGTACATTGAATACTACAAAACCACATACTTACCTCCAGCTGAAAAAAAAGAGATGTTACATATTCATTAGCACTCTAGCTATGTGTCAGCTGGTTAACAATTCACTGGTTAAGAAGACTACGATCTCAAAAGATTGAATCACTTAGTGGCTCTTAACTATTATAAACTAGCCCTAAGAACCATCAGATTTCTGTGGATATTCATTATGATTTCAGATATCACATTTACCAAAAAGGGCTTATTTATGGATCAAAGGAGCCTTAGATGGATATCTGCTTGACAGCCTTTTGTGGGCAGTTGAGTAGAGTTACTATTTTACATGAAAATAATAAAACAGTGAATCTTTCAAAATATTCTATAATATATGACTTTCACTAATTCAGACCAGTTTATATCCCAGTGAAATCTAATAAGAATATTTTGCTTTATGTATGCCTAAGTGAATAATTATACAACAAAACTATGTGGCTTCTATTCCATTGTTAGAGAAAAAAGATACAATACTGTTTCCTGACCCAAGGCCTGAAATCCCCACTGTGTTCTTAGAAAATAGTTAATATTTACAGTATTTCCTTAAAAAACTGAGACTTTTAGAAAATCAGTATTTGTTATATGTATATTTTAAACCACATAATACATATTAAGATATAATATTTGACTTCTTAGAATAAAATGATCATTAGTTATACCTTCAATTGTTATTCAAATTTGAATTTAGAAACTATCCATGTGAAATCAGTCTATAGAAAGCAGAGTACCTTTTTGAACTCTTTGCACAAATAAATAACCTTAAAAGTCAGTGATGCATTGCCTTAATGACGAAAATATATTCTAAAAAATGTGTCCTTAGGAGATTTTGTAGCCTACTACACGACTAGGCTATATGGTATAGCCTGTTGCTCCTAGGCTACAAACCTGTACAGCATGTTATTGTACTGAATACTGGAGGCAATTGTAACACAGTGGTATTTGTGTATATAACATATCTAAACATAGAAAAGGTACAGTAAAAATAAAGTATTATAATGTTATGGGACATCATTATGCAGCACATGGCTATAGTTATCACATAAAAAGTCACTTGAAAATTATGATCTTTTGCTGCACAGAAATCCCACTTTAGATCACTAGCAATGGATACCACATGGATACCATGAGAAAGATAATGAAAGTACTTAGAAGTCCTTTTTTTGGATTGAAACTTTTTTTGAGATTCAGAAAAGTATAGATATATAAAGTTAATGATAACTTTAAAACATCCCCAAAGCCCTTACTTAACTTTAATATATGTTCTTGTTCAATATGCTTTGTTTGTAAATAAAAGAAACTAATATATCAGGTGTTTAGCTTTAAAAAATCTGACTTCTAGACTTTAGCTTATTTTTTTTTATTTTTTTAATATATATGCAGCTATTAATAACATTTCTTATCCTGTACATCAGATATTCACAGTGATGACCTTCATTCAGGTACTGCTATACGATCCCGAGCCATTAAAGATTAGAACTGTACATACTGTATAATTTAAGGCAGGTGAATAGACAAATTTCATAGGGTGAGTGTTTTGAAAACATTAATAAGACACCAAGGGTTAAAACAAGACATGATCTTTGATAAAGCTTGAATTATTAAGCAATTTTAATTAACTGCAACTTTCTCCAATACACACAAAGTTCTAAAATATTCAGGTTAATGAAAGTTTTCTTGAATTTCATGAAGGATCTTTTTCTTTTTCAGATGGGTATTATTTAATTTTCTTGGAGCATTAATAAGATACTTTTTAAGTGATATAACAGATATAGGAGTACTTTAAAATATTCAAAGTATTATGTACCTATAAAATTCCCAGCTTAATTTCTTGGGTTCCTAAAGTTCTTTGGTAAGTCATTATTTGGACCCAATTTGTTTTCCCATAGAAACTGTATTTTAAATGATTATTAATACCCAGCAAACTTATAACCATGTGGTATAGATTATTTCTCTGACATTATGATCTTTTTCCTCCACTTTCTCCTCCCCTAGCTTCTCTTCCTTTTTTTTTTTTTCCTTTCTTTATGTTTTTCGTGTTCTATAGTGGAAAGGTCAAGAGTTTTCAGATCATGAGCTTAGGAGTCATACAGTTCAGAGTTTGAATACAAGTTCTGCCACTTAACTACCTGTGTGATTTGAATTTTCTCAACTTCCATGAACATTGATTTCTTTATTTTTATGTTTTAAGCATTAACTGATGAGAAAATACACACAAGGCATTTACTGTGGGACAAATACATAAATGGTTCTTCTATTTCCTGTACTTCCTTCTCCCCTTCCTTCCTATTTCAGCTACCATGTAGGAGATAGTTAGTGTATATGACTGTGTTTCATAGCTCTTGCCAAGCAGGCAACTCAGGATGCCCATCGGCCCTCCTTGCTGGTACTCCCATAGCCATGAAATTCATCGCAGGAAGACAATGATTCCCTGGTTGCTACTTAACCATTCATCTACTTGTTGATTCAACCTCTACTTGTGGCAGCCTACTCTTTGATAGTCACTGTGATATCTAGTAGTTCTATAGCAAGAGCTGTGACAAATATTTTTCTCTGAGAGCAGCCCAATTATTCTGATATACTGTCTCCTAATCCCGGTGTTTGTAACTAAGACAAGTCCGTTTGCATTTTATTTCATTCATATTTCTTGCCCAATTGATCTCAAATATAAAAGGCACTGATTAAGCCTAGAAATCCAATGCTTTTTAAAGTTAAAGTCATTGATCAAGTGCTCCCTAGTGTGAATGAGGACATAAGAAACCAAGGTCTTGATTTTCATTGATCTGTTGACTTCAAATACAGTTGACTCTTTATTGAGTATAGCACATGGTTTTGTTACTGATCAGTTAAAGATAAAATGAATAGATAAGAGTATACAGATATATTTCTACATTGCGGTTGCTAAGAGATTCCCAGCTGTTACACTTCAGGAAACTTCAAGCAGAATGATAACGATTTCTGAGTACTTTCATTATCTTTCTCATAGTATCCATGAGATTGCTAGTGACCCGAAGTGGGATTTCTGTGCAGCAGGCATTACAAACATCTTGAGAGCACATGTAGTATTACTGTAAAGGCTTCCCCTTGGAAGATTTTCTTTCTTTAGCTTATTGTATAAATAACTCGTTTTCTTAAAACTAAAATGTTCTAGTTGAATTGTTACTAGGGCTAGAAAATTTGCATGAAAATTATCATCCCA